GGGTTTTAAATTAAACTTGACAAGGTTTAAATTCATGTGCCATTACCGTCGTCAGGCACGTCGTAAGGTATTCGTATCACTTTTCAGATAATTTAAAGCACGTTTCAGGTCATTTTGAATATTCCAAAACTTTCCAAAATTTACGTGCCGTACGCTTATTTCTACGCCCACAGCACATACTGAAGCTGGAAATTACGTTTCGGTTACATGTGTTGGGTTTCTGACACTGTATTAATACAACCGTGCGCACGGACGTTAAGACGTATGTGTACACATTCGTAAGTCCTTAAAATTCTCAAAATTACTCATTAAATAGAGCATGTTTTAGCATATAATACTTTTCAATCAGAACCGTGCGTGCTTCGTGAGGGTCCAAGTATGGCGGATCACCTAACTCGTCCTCAGTGACAAGTTCAAATCTAGTGTTAAAATTACTTCTGTGTTCATTATAATTTTGTCTAAAGATTTCGACTATAAAGCTAAGTCAGCGTAAAACTGAAAAATACTCAGATTTTGGATTCATTTTTCGAATAGTTAACCCTCGTTAACCCTAAAATGACTTAGTTTATTATAATCCTTAATCATTTATTAATTAATATCTGTTAAAATTAGAATTGGCGAATTTTGGCCAATTTATGAAAATTGAAGTTGAAATATACTATACTTTTATAGGTCATGTAAATGTTCCATAAAAATTCGAAACTTTTCTTGGAGGAAAATATTAATATGTTTGATATTTTATGAGAGATAAATGTATCAGCTTCTAAATAGAAAAGATTGCGCAGCCATAATGATTGACAGTATGTAGTGCGCATTGAGAAAAGAAGGTGCTCTCCATTTCGTCATGTTCAATTTTTTGGTCAACTATGCCCGCTGAAAATTTGATGGCGGGGAACACATGGGACTTCAAAGGCATCGCGCAAACGTTCTTTACGCGCTGCGGCAACTTTGATCTTGGTTCATTTGCATAGCGCTGCGTGCGCATGGCTTTGCCGAGTGATCTCCTTCTCAATAATACCTCCATGGTTATTCTAGGACGTTTCATGATTCTTTATCACTAAAAATTAACAAACACTCATTTTGACGCACTCCGTTCTGTAGTGTGTGTCTGCTGTTGAAAACAAACTTCCTAGCCTATTGTGACTGGCTATGATAACTGAGATGGACCATGTTATTTATTAATAATATTTTGTTTGGGATGGAAAAAAGGAGAGTCAATTTCCCCAAAATGCTCCAACAGCACATAGTTTACTGTGCACTATGGACAGTATGGCTATGGAATTTACTAACCACACAATCCACAATCAGGTGATTAAGTCGCAAAACTTTATCTGCCTTTGGTGGATTAAGTCGCAAAACTTTAGCTTCGTTTTATGGCACCATTTACTCTAGGTAGATGGCGACTGGTTTCGTTAACGGTTGGTACATTTCTTACAAACATTCAGCCAAAGGCCAGTGAAAGTTGAGACGGCAGCCAGGTTTTTATCGATGTTTGCCATTCGTATGTGTGCCATCGTAAAGTCATGGTTTGCTGGAGTTGCGTTTAATTTAAATCTCCGAACTTCTGAAGCTGAGATATTCTATGAATGTAGGCTTGCATCGCAGGGCTACAATTTAAAAACGGGTGACCAAATAATGAATTAGGTGCTAAATTTTGATTTAATGCTAGGTAATTAAAAACAGACATTCAGTCCGAGTTCAAAAATTTGAGGGGGTTCACTAGAAATCATCAGATATCAAAATTGAAAACCATTGCAAAAAAAACTAGATATTAGATGTTAGAAATGAAGCAGAGTGATCAAACATGACCGTATTGGAAGTGTTTTAAATATTTATCATGTTGTGTTTTTACCATAATTGTTTAGTACCTCTGAAAATTGGTAAAGGCCTACCCTTTTGGAATGTTTTTAAGTCCATTAAATTTATGTTATATTTCTGTGCATTATCATTGTGTTAATCATTTTTTTTAAATTTGTTGCAATATTTCTTTTATTTTTACTCTTTGCAGAAGAACCAGATAAATTGCATTTGAAGTCAGCCACCAATCCAAGCTATGTCAGAAACAAATGGTCTTTCGCTTTGGATTTTGTGCCTTATCCTACAGCTTGTGCTTTCTAGTGCATCAACCCCAACACCATGTCCTAAGGTGGTGGACCACAAATATTTCAACTGTAGCCATCATTCATTGGAAGAAGTACCAAAGGGGCTACCTTCAACTTTAGAAGTTATTGTTCTCTCTCACAACCGTATAAAAAAGCTTGATGACGACTCCTTTCAAGGACTACATAACTTAGTACAAATTGATGTTTCCTACAACTCCATATCCAAGATCTCGACTGCTGCTTTCAATCATTTAACCAAGCTGGAGACTCTCATCCTGAGGAAAAACCAACTACATGAAGCAGAATCCGGTTTGTTTCAAGGCTGTCTCTTATACACATCTAGATGTGTATAAGAGACAGGACCGATAGTTCGTATACTGTAAAGGCAAAATTCGTGTGGCATTACCAACCAACAGGGGGTTTTAAATTGAACTTAAGCATTTTTGGATAGTGGCTGGTGCAAATACGAACTACAGTTTGCGTTGTCACGGCTTTTCAAGGAACGTAAGGAGGTCATTATTTTGATCTTTTTACAGAAAATTCCTGATCAGCTGTTGACCGATCAATTAAAGGTGCATCGCCTTATTAGAAGATTCATTAAAGATAATACGTACATCGAGTGGCCACATAATCCAGATGAAGAACTTGCATTTTGGGAAAAATTGAAGGATTCTTTAAGATAACCACTGTGGAGTTTAAATTTCTTTTAAAGGTTCAAATTTTTCATTTTTGTATGTGGCCACTAGACCCAAAGACTGTGCCCTTCTCCCCGCTGGCCTTTGCTCAGATGCGCCTATTGATTAGGTATCTCCTGCATGTATTTGCCAGAGGTGTAGAGAATTGGTTCACTATAATGAAATGGAGCTTTATAAAATGTAGAGAAATTTTTAATTATGTATTTTTGTATACTATTATATAAATAAACCAGTGAACAAATTCATTATTAACACTAAATGAAGCCTATAATAATGATGATAATACACTGTCTTTTTACACGGATACACTTTATTCACCCAAGTGGTTTTTTTTCTTGAAGGTCGTTCAAAGCCATGTAAAGTAACAAAATATAGGAAAATTAGAATGTAAAAGACAAAATGATAACCACATTTAAACGAAAGGTAAACAAGTACCAAAATAAAAAAGGAGAAAAATAATAATCCATTAAAGTTTATAGTGTAGTGGTTGGATTGAAGCTTCATTTGATGGTTCACAGGAAGGTTTGTGAAATATAGTGTTCAATCAAACATGGTCTTCTCACAAATAATATAATTTTAATTTTGCATGTAAGTTACATAATATTTATTCATTATGTATAGTTATAGTGCTCTTTGCTTATTCTGTGTTGTGTTTATATGTTGCAGATTATTGTTTATGACACTTTAGAAGGTTCTGAACAGGCCATTTCTTATATTGCCTGCAAATCCTTTCCATAGTTCATTGTGTATGACACTTTAGAATGGTCTGAAACAGGCCATTTCTTACTTTGCCCGCAAATCCCTTCCACAGTTTGTTGCGTATTAAACATTTTAGAATGTTCCGAAATAGGCCGTTTCTTATTTTACCTGCAAATCCCTTCCCCACTTCATTGTGTATGACACATTTTAGAAGGTTCTTAACAGGCCATTCCTATTGTACCGACAAATCCCTTCCCCAGTTTGTTTTGAAGGATACAATGAACCATTCCGCTAAGCCACGCCCCTTGGATATTGTTGCTAAGGTCCCACAAAACGACAGTGAAAACATATGCGAACATTTCCGTTTGTAGGACAGTACATGTGTTTGTAGGACACGTACATGTGTTTGTAGGACACACCCATATTCCCGATCTGGTTCTGATTAGTTGGTTGTCAAGTTAGATTCACTCTCTGAAAAGGTCTATTGAGAAGGTACTCAAAACAGGCCATTGTTTTCACAAGTCTTTACCCAGGTTGTTGTGTATGATGACAATGTGTAGAAGGTTCTTATTATTATTAATCTTTCCCCACCACAGTGGTCATTCCATATTCCCACCAGTCCCCTCCTCAGTGTGTGTGTCAGCTATTTGTGCTTTATTAGCTAATAGTTTTCTAGTTATAAATCACATTTAAAACAAGCTGATTTATGTTATTTTTAAAATGTATATATTCATTTGTGCATGACTTGTTTGTAAGTCAAATACTGTAGTTATAAACTATTTTTTATTTAATACATTATTAGTATTTTATTTTGTGCATTAAAACCTACAAGGTGTAGCCTGTGTGACTTGTTTTCATGTTGTGTTAGACACAATTAACTCTTCTTTTATTTAATATACTGTGCATGAATTTAGATTAAAATATTTTCATTTGTACATTATATCACCGGATTCTGTGATTATATGTTAGGTGATTGTGACATGTTTTTTTTTATATTTTGTAAGATGCAATCACATAGTTGATTTATAGATTTAAAAATTAGTACAGTATTTTCATTTGTACATTTATAAGTTTGGTGTGTGCTATTGTCCTTGGTTTCTTGTTGTATAAAACAAAATTTTAATTAGTTTAATTATTTTTAATTAATTTAAATAAGTATTTTTTTAAATATAATTTTATATTAATATTTTCATCTCTATATTATTAGGTATACTTATTTCCATGTGTAAAACACAGTTAAACTGTTTTTTTGACTAAGTAAATACAGTTTCGTTTTAAAATAATGTTCTATTTGACATATTTTCATGTTGTGTAAGACTAAATTAAATGGTTCTTCTATTTATTCTTCTTTTATATTAATATTTTCATCTCTATATTATTAAGTATACCTATTTCCATGTGTAAAACACAGTTAAACTGTTTTTTTACTAAGTACATACAATTTCTTTTTAAAATAATTTTCTATTTGACATATTTTCATGTTGTGTAAGACTCAATTAAATGGTTTTAACTATTTTTCTTTGAAAAAAAAATTAGGGGTATGCTATTTTACTTGCTTTGACATTTTGTAAAACACAATTTTAAATAGTTTAACTATTTAAATAAAATAAATATAGATTTTATATTATTTTCATTTGTATATTGTTAAGTATACTTATTTCCATGTGTAAAACACAGTTAAACTGTTTTGTTTTTTTACTAATTAAATATAGTTGTGTTTTTTTTAAATAATATGCTATGTGACATATTTTCATGTTGTGTAAGACTCAGTTAAATAGTTTTAACTAGTTTTCTTTGATATATATCTAGGTGTATGCTATTTTACTTGGCTTTATTGTATAACACAATTTTAAATAGCTCAACTGTTTTTAAAAATTAAATATAGATTTTTTATAATATTTTCATTTGTATATTGTAAAGTATACTTACTTTCATGTGTAAAACACAGTTAAACTACTTTTTACTAATTAAATATAGTTTCTTTTTAAAATAATATGCTATGTGACATATTATATGTTGTGTAAGACTCAATTAAATCGTTTGATATATATTTAGGGGTATGCTATTTTACATTACGTTTTGTAAAACCCAATTTTAAATAGTTTAACTATATTATTTTCATCTGTATATTGTTAAGTATCTTATACTTTCATGTGTAAAACACAGTTAAACTCCTTTTTACTAACTAGTTTTCTTTTTAAAATAATGTTTTATGTGACATATTTTCATGTGTATTAAAACAGATGGTTTTAACCACTTTTTATTCTTATATATTTAGGGTATACTACTGTATTTTACATGGTTTCACGTTTTGTAAAATACAATTTTGAATAGTTTAACTATTTAAAAGAAATTATTATAGCTTTTATATTAATATTTTGATCTGTATATTGTTAAGTATACTTATTTCCATTTGTAAAACACAGTTAAACTGTTTTTTATTAAGTAAATATACTGTAGGTTCTTTTTAAAATACTCAGTGGTGATGCCAGTAGGAGCCCTGGATCCCAGTTGTCTGGAGCTATTACACAAAAAATATTAATTTTCCTATTCAAAATGTTATTTTGATTGGCAATCACTAATATTGTGGTCTAAAACCTAGTCAGCAAATATCTGGAGCCACCACTGGTGTAACTGTATATTTTTATGTTGTGTAAGACACAAATGATTTTAACTATTTCCCATTAATATGTATTTAGAAATTAGCATTTTAAGCTAGGTTTATACTATGTAACTCATGTTGTGTGAAGCTGGGCACACAAAATCCGTCTCTGCTCTTGACAACGCTATAGCGTCTGCTGTTTGTCAGTGGTATTTTTGTCACATCTTTGTAGAATACGATTCCCTGCTTGAGTCTTGTTGATTTGATATCTCCATAAAATTATGTTAGCTGATACAATGTGCACCTGGCCTAAGATAAAATGTTACATTTTAATCTTAAAAAAAAAAAGAAAATCCGTAATCCCAATTCTACATTAAAAGCTTTTGCTTAACACGTTAACTGCCAGACCATATTTTTAGGTTCCTTCCCATGTGCTAAAACAAGTACACATGTACAAACATGCTTTTTTGAAATTTGATTGTCATAATTTTATCATCAAAATGACATGTCTAAAAAAGTGGCAAGAAAATATTGGGAGATAAGTAAACTCATCACCGGCAATGGGACAGTACTTTTTATTGCCTCTGCCAAGTGCGAGCTTTCTAGTCCGCTTTTTGCATGTGTTGTATATGTTCAGAGGGCACCCACACTTGTGTAATCTAGTGTGCTTCCTGCAACATAACACAACAAACATACATAAGTTATTTGTACATTATCATCTAGGTGTATACTGTACAGTATTCCCCGAATTATCAGCCGTCAAGTCTGTGGTTCTACAATGTATAACAATAAATTAATAAACACTAGAATGTTACCCCGGTTTTGATGAGTATAGTCGTCCATAGTGCCCTCAGCAGCACCCAGTGGGACAAGTATACTCGTCGATGGCAGCAAACATGTTAACAGCCTTAACTGTGCAGACATCTTAGTGATAAATGCACAATTTACATTGCAACAAATTTTTGTACATAGAGAGATTAGTTGGGTATAAAGAATTATCTACAAGAATCCAACTATATCAGGGTATGGGATGCTGTATCAACAAAAAAAGAAACAAGGATCCAACTTTATCAGGGTATGGGATGCTGTATCAACAAAAAAAGTAAAATAAAACAATACAGTAATTCATTTATTTGGTACATGTATGCCAAACATGTACAGAAAGTAGAAATAGTTTAAAATTAGTCAGTATTATAAGTACTGTATTATAAACAGCTGTGTAGTAGCATTTGCTATATTTGATAGTTACATGTGCTTCATTGTTATTTTAGTGTATTATTATTATTATTACAGTAGTGTAATATTATATCAAATGTTTCTTTATGAAAATCCAATGATAAACACTTACTTTATCTAGCGACGTTTGACATCATGAACAATTAAATAATCCTGATGAATTTTTATAATCAGTGTAATACTTTATTAGTCATTTGTATTTTGCGGTATACAGTAGGCCAATTTTTGACAGGCAAGTTCAATGATGAAGAAACCAGGTTTTGTTTGGAATTGTATTATTTTACATACAGAAAATTACTGTACATTAAATGCTACCATTAATTTTACAAGTACTTATTGTTAATACATTTTGCTTTTTTACCATGAAATGCTAACAAAATATTAAAATAAATTTCAATATTTGAATTGCTTCGTCTGTAGACAAAATTATTTGCTTTCAAGTGAAATTACAGTATAATATTCAGTTTTCAGTTTTATTGTTTCACACAATGAACATAAAAAATGAACAAGATACAAGAACATTAATAATTCAATGGTTTGGATTCATTAACTTACGATCAAAATAATATGATCAAAATATTAATAATGTTAGGCTCCTGCTTAATTTTATATGCTCTTCTAGTAGGAATAATGAGATTACAGTATTTTAAAATTTTCCAATTACCACTTGAACATTGGAGGATAACAAGTTGCAAATTCAACATTGTCCATGTTGCATATTTTTCCAAGAAGCTTATCTCTGTGTTTTCCTTTTGGCCCTAACTTTGCTAATGAATGTTACTTCCCTTAAATGGATTATTTTTTAGCTTGTGAATATATATGTGAATACAAAACTGTTGCATGTGAACTAAGATTAATATTTATACTGTCTTTTTTTTCTTGTACTAAATGATCTGCGAAATATGTAATAAAACTATAGACAATAGTCATTTTATAATTGGGTGTGATGTATGCAAGAATCCTGTACATGCTCATTATTGTTCTAGATACATTGATTGGAATTGCATACCATGTAACAGATCTTTATTTCCGTTCAACAACAGTTAAATATAGTACGCGCACAGATATACTGATCATTTCACTATAGCAACTGATGACAGTTTGAGTATAAAATTCAGATGAAACTAACGTTAAAAGAGAGTAATTGCGTTACATTAGGCAAAGTGTGGTCTAAATAGGGAAGTGAACGCCTTTACCCTTGATGAGTTTCAGGTTCCCTCTGACCCGGAGGGATATCCCATCCTGGGTTACGCAAAATATAATGCAAAAACTTTATTTTAACTAAATCATTAAAAATATTAAATTTTTTTAATTAATGAATTAAAAAGAAAGCCACACATCCAAACAATTGTGCACTGGTTGCAAATCATATTAGGCTAGTTGGACACAAGGTTCACATTGAAGTTTGTCCATTAATGGAAGATAATGCGGGAAGGCAAACGGTGAAGGTGATGATGGGCAATACCGACCAACGTTCCTACTATAGCCAATTTGTCAGGGTGCTGGTGGGCAATATTCACCAACGTTCCTATTGTAGCCAAATGGTCTGGGTCCTGGTGGGCAATATCCACCAACGTTTCCACTTGAGGCAAAACAGTCTGGGTGTTGGTGTGCAATACCAACTAATGTTCCTACTGGAGCCAAACGGTCAGGGTGCTGATGGGCAATATCCAACAATGTTCCTACAAAAGGCAAACAGTCAGCGTGCTGGTGGGCAATACCAACGTACCAACGTTCCTATTGGAGCCAAACTGCTAAGGTGCCGATGGGTGATATCAAACAACCTTCCAACTATTAGAGCCAAACAGTCAGGGTGCTGGTGAGCAATACCAACTTTTCTACTGTTGCCAATCTTTGTTCAAAGAATTTGATTTGATTTGATTTATTTTGCATTCAATATCACACACATAACAATAACATTTTGAGAACGAACATAAAAAAGGAGATGAATAATAATTGAATGCCTGGATAACCCATTAAGTCTAGTGATTGTACACCAGACTTATTTCCAATGGGGTCCAGAAGCCAGGGTAATTATTGCACAAGAGCGAATATTTACAGATAGTGATCTGGCAAGGTTTAGAATATATAGTAAAATATATAAAATAGGAACATAGGCCAATTTAAAATTAAAAATTAAAAAAAGTAAAATTACTAATTGAGTAAATATAAAAACTGCATATAGTAAAGGATAAAAACATGAAACATTAAAAATCAGTAAGTAAAAATTCTTTAAGCTTTCTCTTAAACATCCTGTGGTCAGTAATTTCTTTAAGATAATTGGGTAGAGCATTCCAGTCTCGGATACCAGTTGCAAAAAATGAAGTGTGATTAGCACCTTTTGTTTTTGGAACAACAAAGTTATATATCCTGTTTCTGGTGTTGTATCGGTGTTGGCTTGAAATTGGGTTAAAATTTAGGTACATAATCTGGACATTTGTTGTGGTAGATGTTATGAATATGATTGAGTTTAAGATATTTGACACGGGATGTAATATTCAGGTATCCCAGACTGGCAAGCTCTTGATGACCAATATGGGACCTTGGGCCAAAATTTAAAACAAATCTCGCAACTTTATTTTGCGTAGTCTGGAGTCTCAGTTTAAGAGAGTTACCAAGCACACGCAGAATAGTCAAAAAGGCAAGAAATTAGGGCAGAAGTTAAAAGTTTACGACATTTGAAATTGAGGCAGGCTTTCTGTCTGTAAAGAAAAGAAAGTCGCGAGTTGACTATATCATTTGCAATTAAGTTACAGCTAACTGCATTATCAATATTAACTCCTAAATATTTAACATAATTACTTCCTTTAACAGTGAAGCCATTTATCGATATTTGGAATGAATTAACTTTTTTAAGTTTCGTTTTAGTGGCAAAAATAATAAATTCAGTTTTTTTAGTATTTATTGATAATTTGTTGTTGATTAGCCATTGTTGGCATTGGTCAAGGACCTTGCTCAGTTTTCTTGTAATATAATCAGGGTCATGGTGGGCGTATAAAATAGCACTGTCGTCTGCGTATAGCAACAGTTTACAGTCATTATCAATACAAATTTCCATATCATTAATGAAGCATAAGAACAAAAGCGGTCCAAGGATACTTCCTTGAGGCACGCCGTATGTAATGTAACGCTGTTCACTAAAAGCGCCCTCCAGAGAGACTACCTGAGATCTATCGGATAGATACGACCTGAACCATTTGACACAGTCAATTCCCATACAGTCGAGTTTTTCGAGAAGGATTTCGTGGTCGACAGTATCGAAGGCCTTTTGTAGATCAATCAGGATCATTCCAGTGTAAAGGCCATTAGTGATGTTGGATTTCAGGTCGTCGATTAGATTGATCAGGCATGTCTCTGTAGAGTGGGCCTGTCTAAAACCAGACTGAAATTTGAATAAAATATTGTTATCGGCAAGGTATTTTTCAAGTTGGGTGGCAATAGCCCGTTCAAGAATTTTGGAGATGGAGGAGAGGATACTGATTGGTCGATAGTTTTCCGGATTAGTTCAGTTTCCCTTTTTAAAAAGTGGTGAGATCTTTGCAAGTTTCAAGTTGTCCGGAACAGTATTGGTGGTTATAGAGAGATTAATAATATGAGTAATGGGACCTACCAGTACGTCTACTCCATCCTTAAGGAATCTTGTCGGGATATTGTCAAGACCCGTGCTCTTGTTATGATCAAGTGCATTAATCTGTTTTCTAATAAATTCTTCAGAAACATGGCTTAATTTAAACCTGTTTTTTGAAATCGAATTGAGCGATTTTTTTTTAGTAAAGTATCTCTTAATTTGATGTTCATTAAAATATCAGAATTTAACCAAGACTGTGATTTATGTTTTAGTCTTATTTGCTTCTGAGGTGCTATAGTATCGACAATATCAATAAGAATTTTTTTTAAATTAGACCATGCGATGTTAACTTCACAACAGTTATAAATTCTGGAGGACCAATCAATGTCTTGTAGCTTACTTATGTATAACTTAACATCGTATTTTTTCAAAGATCTAATGTGTACTGTGTTATGGAAATTGATAGACTCTACAGCTTTTTTCCTTGTACAATATACCATAAAGTGGTCACTAATTCCGATTTGAAATATACCTGATTGTCTAACTTTAAAATTACTTTTGCATAAAATATGTTCTATGCAAGATATAGAATTTTTAGAAATTCTAGTCACCTCATTGATAATTGATAACAGACCATTGTTAGAAATAAAAGATTTATAAAATCGTGTAAGATAGCTGTCTTTCATAGTGTTAATGTTCATATCACCAAGAATGATTAGTTCATTTGTAGAACATACCATATTAGTCGAGTTTTCTAAATGTTCAATAAATAATTTTGGGTTGCTTTTCGGGGGTCGATAGCATGTGCCCACTGTAATAGGTTTTGATCTCGGTAAGAGAACGTCAACCCATACTGTTTCCATGTCATCGACTTCCAAGTCCTCCCGTCGTGTGACAGCTCTGTTGATGTGTGTGTATATACACACTCCGCCACCTTCGCGATTGCGATCTTTTCTGAAGAGATTGTATCCATCTATATGAATCTCGTTGTCAGTAACGGAATGATCCAACCAAGTTTCAGTCACAGAGATAGTGGTTGCATTTGTTTTAGTAGCCAGAAACCGAAGTTCTTCAATCTTTGGGGGCAAAGATCTTATATTAATATGGATATGGTGTAGACCCTTGGAGTTGAATGCAGTAAAATCGTAATCCTCCATACCTTCAAGTGTAGTATCTCCAGTGGTATCAGTGGTAGAAAGATCGTCGTTAGAGAAACCAAATGGAAACGGCAGTTTATCCCAATAATTGTTAATTTTACCCGGATCAGGGGATATATTAACATCACCAGGTAGCTCTTGGAGGAGGCAAAAGGGACAAATCCAAGATGCAGGACGGCAGTTTTGATATTGTTTGAATACGTTGGGGGAAATTCTTCCACATTTTATATGACATTTCATTTTGCATGAGTCATAATATATGGCTCTATGATTTTTGGCGACGGCTTTAGAGCAAACAGCGCATGGATTCCTTGTTGGTCCTGGGTTAGTGGATACATCACCAGCGAGAATAATGAGGAGGAATAAATTTGTTCGTTGAATCAGAAATCGACATGATCGGGATGATGCAAATAATCTGAGTAATGGAGAATGTAAGTCTAGGTTATCGATACCAGTATTTACTTGCGAAATCCAATTTTCAGCAAAATAATTGATTTCAGGTGAAATTTTGTCATAAACGATTGGTTGCGTTATTGAAGCAAATCTAATGACAATGCAAAGTAGGTGTGCTAATAGGATATAAAGTTTCATTTTCAACGATGTTCAACAATTTAGATCAGATCTTTGTGTCACGCCCTCAGGAATCTAATGGTAAACTCGGCGCTAAGCAACGGTGAACAACAACATAATAGTGCTTTGATCAGCCGGTTGAAAAAATCGCGCCAAGTAGAGTAGGCAATGAAAATGAAAATCTGGATAAGATTTTGAAATATCAATAAAACTCGAATGAAAATATCAGTTATTTAAACCAGTAAAGTTCAGTTCTGTTAAAATTGATATTGCTTTGGGATGATCTTACGGCAAATACATTTGTTGCATGAGCTAGGCCTAGTTAAGTGCTGGTCAGTTCTATGTCCAGTAACCGTTGCAGAGTTGATCTGTCCAGTGACGGATTCGCCTTGGTTAGGCTGAGGACTGGTATGACGTGGCTTAAAAATTCGTAGGTATCAAACGTTAAAATTTCAAAATAAGATGAAAATGAGCAGACTTAACGAAACTCCAAGTTAAAACACTGATCAGTAATAAGAAAGTAGAGTCACAATTTGAAACGTCAAATGTACAAAATTTCAAGAATTTGGAGAACAGTTTAAAGGGTACGTCCACTCACACGTACGTACGTCCACCTGGATTACAATAGTACTGTAACTGTTTGATAGAGGATGCAAAGTGAAAATTTCAAACATTGTACAGTAAATAAAAACCAGGAAAAATGTATGGAAACAATTTTTTTAATTTATTAAGATAAGAGAAATCAATGGTATTTTTAGGCATCTAAACAAAAACAACATTGCATTATCCTTGGTATTTACAAATTTTATGTACAGTATTAACCTATAATAATGACCTTAAACGATTTTAAAAAGAAAGTTGAGTATGAAATTACTATACAACACTGGGCACCTGGTAGATTCAATAGGTTATTATAACTGAGGATACAGTACCACACACTTTTGCTCTTACCATGGTGAGTCTATGTGAATGCATAATTCTGTAATACCAAAAGGGTTTTATTGAGATTCACAAACCACAGCATCAGATCAGAGAAAGTCCTGTTGAATTAAAAGAAAGTAAACTATGTGTCCACGCAAGCAGATCCTTCCTCATTCAGTGTAACATATTTTTTATGACTTCTTTGTTAACTTGGCAGTAATGTTTTGACTGTAGTGAGTTTGTGGTTATTAGGCTTAATTCCAAATAGTGTTGTTTTTTTTTGTATTATCCAGCAATAAAATAGATAAATCAATAACCAATATCGAAAGTAATCACAGATATGAAATAACAGTAAGTCCATGCTTAGTATTCATATAATTTTGTTTTATGAACATCTTTCTCTTCGCACTCTCTCGTTTTGTTGTAGTAGTAGAAATACCCATCTTTACGTGTCAGCTTCTTAATGTAACCATTATGCGGCCACCTAGTAATCTGGGAAAACAAAGATGCAGGTATATAGAAACTTTAACAAGATTATCAAAAACAGCAACACTATCACAAAAATTAACATTATAAAACATCAGAATAAGAATGACATTAAAATAAGATCAAGCTGGTCCTTACGGGACAACCAATTTTATTTCTTGAGCTTCTCATACAGCAAACTCCTATCCCTTTCAATTATTTGCCAATGCTGTAAAGCTCAAAGTATCAATACTTTCGCTACCTGAATCAACTTATCAAAATAAGTATTCAGTTTGTACTTACTTCTCTCTGAGTAGATAAGTATTCAGTTTCATCTCTATAGCCAGCAAGTTGAAATCTATAGGCCTCTTCCACCTCATCTGACCACGTCTTAGGCCTCCTGATTGACTTTGGCTGTGGTGCGTCAACACTTGCACTCATTTTAAATGTTATACTAGTACAAGATACAAGATACTTTTATTGTCACTTATTTAAAAAATTCACAAGTAAAATTCTTTTTCTTGATGCTTATACATGTAATGAATATAAATATAAATACAAAAATAACACAGAGGTTAGTACAAAAAAAAAACCACAAATCGGTGAACAGCACACACATAATTATAGCACAAGGTATTGCAATGGGAATTCATAGGTCAAAGTTAGCATTATAGATATAAACTGAGTTGTGAGTATCTGAAATAAAGAAGTTTCATCTGTATATTTTATTCAATAATGCAGATGACTAGGCCTATGCCTACATTCAATTTTTAAAGTAGACCCACAGTATATTTAAATTTAAAGAAAGTTTTAAGTTTATAATACTAATGCTTCTGGTACACCACGTAGATAGTTCTGAAAAGATTGTTGGTTGAGAATGTCTTGATGTTTTACTTGGTTGAGTTACTTCAATCGTTTTCAGGAGTACAGTAAGCTTTAAGTTGTAATATCAGGATTTATTTATGTTTTCATTTACCCAGGAAAATTTAAAACCAGATTGAAATTAAATGAAAAAAAAAATAAGCCAATATGCCTAGGGCCTACTACATCTATCTATTAATTACTAATACTATTTTTTTTATAATGCTGTAGCCTGTACAATACAATAAAATTTTAAACAATAAATAAAAATAAAATTAAAATTGACAAGAAGAAATATCATCACAAATGAAATTGAAATTCACATTAATCAGATCAGCAGCCTAGTCCTATATGGTTATTATTAAAATCAATTACTACTACGGCAGAGTACAGCAGCTACCACTATTATTAGGTAGGCCCCGACCTAGGCCTAGAGAAAGAGGCCCAGCCTAGGCTACTCCTCTGGGTGCCTAGACTGGGCCTGCCGCCTAGGCCCAAGCCAAACTAGGCCTAGACCGGACTCCTCCTCGGCCGTATTTTTAGGCATTTCCTTTTTATAGTATAGGGTAAAACATACCTGTTGTATGGCAAAATTATTTTGAGAAAGGTTGAGTTACTAATCAGATCCCTGGTTTCGTCGTCGGTGATATCGTCGATGAATGAATGAAGAAACGGTTTTCAAGATACAACAAAAGCTGGTTTATTTGTTTTCGACGCGTAATGTTTTCTTTGTTGCCTAGATACAGTAGCGTGCCAAATGCATGATGGGAAAGTATAGTTCAAAGCAAAATGGTGATTGGTTAATTTAGCGTGAGAAAGTCGTCGGGTGCAGTAAGCATCTTTCGGAAGGCCAGTCAATTCGAGCGCATGTCAGTTCGAGCGGATGCCAGTTCGAGCGGATGCATTTAGTGCGAACTATACAAGGGCGAATTTATCGTCGCCGTATTCTTGTACAGTAATTGTTTGTTTTAAATGCAAAAAAAAAAAAATGCTCTGATTACTAAGGTTATGAAAGGTTTGTAGTACTTTTTGATAATTACTCCATGTTTGAATTACAGTCTTGGCAACTCCGACTACCAAGATGGCCGCTAACAAGTTAAAACTATAATAGAATTGCGCACTTTTCAGCTTAAAAAAGAAGAAAGTGTATGTTTTACTAGAGTGCACGAGAAGCACACAAGACGAGTGACCATTGGGGTGGCTAGCCACCACCCCCCTTCCCCAGATCCGCCACTGTATGTTTTATTGTTGCTGTTATTATTATTATTGTTGCTGTTGTTATTATTATTATTATTATTATTATTATTATTATTATTATTATTATTATTATTATTATTATTATTATTATTATTATTATTTTTACTATTATTATTATTATTAGGCCTATTATTATTATTACTATTATTATTATTATTATTTTTACTATTATTAAGTGTTTTTTTTTTCTTTCGCGCTTTTTTCACTTTTATGGCATTGTTTAGCATCATTTTGTCTGTATTTTAAAGTTTTAATTATTTAAATGTTTAATGCTTTTATATTGTAATTCCTCCAATCTTATTATTGAATTTGTATTATACTATTATTATTATTATTAATATTATTATTATTATTATTATTATTATTATTATTATTATTATTATTATTATTATTATTATTATTATTAATGTTGTGATTCTTTCGCGTTTTTTATTTCTATGAAAATTTAGCCTCATTTTCACCGTATTTATCGTTGTACACTTTTCATTAATTTGGATCAAGACGGCACGTACGAAATTATCTTCAATCACACACATGCACACGATAATCGAGACGCTACGTACCGTAACTCTCTCATTGTGTTGACGTTGGGAACGTTTTACCTTCTTATCATGCACGATAATACTTTCTTCCTATTTACAATTTGTATATGATGAAATACTAATTATAGTTCCGTGCATTTTAGACTTCTGAGAATATTCATTGTATTTGTTATTTTTTTAAAGAAACATCGTACCGACGTCATCTAGTTTTCTACACTAATTTAAGTGTATGGGTAGACTCAAAATAATTATAACTCCATGGGTAGACTTGCAGGGTCTTTGTCTAAATTATCACCATAAGCTATAAAAATGTGTAAAATATAAGCGCAAATCTGTACTTACATCAGTGGCGTATCTACTCCCCCTCCCCGAAAATTAGTTAAAAATCACCTTTATTTTGCGAATTCGCGCCCCTCTCAACTGATCATCGAGCACCTCCCCCACTTCAACTTCGCGCCCCATCACTCCCCCATTTCAAGACATCTAGACACACCACTGGCTTACATGGCCAGATGAATGAAAATACTCAATCGATGTTCCACCGAATCGTAACCAACCTTCACCATGCCCTCACGATGTCACCGGGGACGCAACTGCCAAAAAACTATTTTTGGCAGCGAAGGGACGCTACCAATAATCAATCAACAACCGGGTTTCTGGGTTGATTTGCAAGGTCTACATGGCTCAAATATTTTTTACTAAGGGCTTAATTGGTAAAAATTGCACATCATACCGTACGACGTCACTGAAAACTATTTTGAGATTATTTTTTCGAATAAAGTTATACTAAATAACTTCTAATGACAAACTATTGTCTTCAGTTGTCTTTGTTAGTCATTCAACTGTCACTATTTTTTCGGTGATATTACCATTCCCAATAATCTATAAAACACCCACCTAACAACGTCACGTTAGAGATCGGTGAGGACGCTGTAGTGACGCCCGGGTAGGGTCAATTTCATTGGACTAAATTATTGGTTATGTTAACCACATGCTTACCTAAGATTATACTGACACTGGTTTCAAATCGCGGGCAAGTAGTTAAAATCATCTTAAATCACATACCGGTATTTTTCGAATTATTACTTCTTAACGAAAACTTTCATATATGACCATCCTTATCTTTTATTGTTATATTATTTTTGTCCTGCCTTGTGCGAATTTTATCTATTTTGTACAATGTTTTGATGATGAGAAATAAACTGAACTGATGATTTACCAAAATATATATTGAATCAGAATGGTCTGTTAATTTTATTTGAGTTGTACTTTTTAATGTTTTTATATTAGTAACAGCAGTGAAAATAAAACCATCAAACCGAGGTAAATACGAGTTAATAGCACCTTGAAGTTCATGAATAAGGTGCGAAATCTTCAGGGTCTTTTTAAGATAACGCCCATGGAACGTTACTTTCAATAAACTTTTAATTTAAAAAATGGCGTTTTAAGCAAACTATTGTTGATTCGGTTATTCAGTTATTAACTGTGTTGTCTACTGTTTATGGTCAACTGAAAACATCATGCAAGC